GCCGCCTGTGAGGGGGCTTGCCACCAGCCGGCTCCCGGTGGATCCCACCTCAAAGGAAACTCGGTCTTTGGTTCCTTAGTTCAGTTTATCCCAGCTTAAAAGGAGCAGCTGGGCACATTTTAGGGGAAAATTAAGACTCTAAAACAGTGTGTTCTGTTCTGTGGAGATTGCTACCCAATTGTTTTAGGTCTAAATTCTGGGTGATTGTGGGGCCTGGCTCTGCCACTGGGGTCCACGTCTTCCAAGTGGCCTGTATTTGTTGTAAGGGCCCAAAGAGAAGAAGGGAACAAGTTTTTTGATGCAATGAATTTGACCAACAAAGGCAAGTGCCGGGCTGTGTCTAATGTACACAGAGAGACACCAGCTCTGAATCCGCCTGGCCAAAGGGAGCTCAGGGCCTGTTTGCAGAGCCTTCTGGTGGTTTCTGTTTCCTTGCTGAGGCCATCCTCCCTGGGAAGCCTTAGGCCCATGCTCAGCTCCAGACAGCTTAAAAGGAGCAGCTGGGCACATTTTAGGGGAAAATTAAGACTCTAAAACAGTGTGTTCTGTTCTGTGGAGATTGCTACCCAATTGTTTTAGGTCTAAATTCTGGGTGATTGTGGGGCCTGGCTCTGCCACTGGGGTCCACGTCTTCCAAGTGGCCTGTATTTGTTGTAAGGGCCCAAAGAGAAGAAGGGAACAAGTTTTTTGATGCAATGAATTTGACCAACAAAGGCAAGTGCCGGGCTGTGTCTAATGTACACAGAGAGACACCAGCTCTGAATCCGCCTGGCCAAAGGGAGCTCAGGGCCTGTTTGCAGAGCCTTCTGGTGGTTTCTGTTTCCTTGCTGAGGCCATCCTCCCTGGGAAGCCTTAGGCCCATGCTCAGCTCCAGACCCCTCCGCCAGGCCGGCCCTGCCCCTGATTGGCCCCCCTACCCCGATCAGGGGCAGGGCCAGCCAGCCAACCTCCTTTGGCCCCTCCCCGGGCCGGCCTGGCCTGATCGACCCTGATCAGGATAGGCTGGCTGGACCCCACCCGTGCACGAATTCATGCACCGGGCCTCTAGTCTATATATATAAAAGCCTAATATGCAAAGTGTCCCCTCAGGAGTTCAACTGATCAGGAGTTCGATAGCTCACTATGATGTGCGCTGACCACCAGGGGGCGGCGTGGAACGAAGGAAGGCCCCGGCCAGCAGCCTGGGAAGGGAGGCCTCGGCTGGCAGCCGCTAGGGACCCTACCTGTTTGTGAATTTCGTGCACTGGGCCTCTAGTGTTTTCCATAAGCCTGAGATTTCCTCTCCCAACCCTGTCTCTGTATCTTCCTATTCTTCATGACCTACTTGTCTGTACAAAGCCTTCCTTGATCTCCCCACCTTCAAAACCAGAAGTATTATCTCCTTTCTCTCAACTTCTGAGGGAAAATGTGTATCAACCAGAATTCTGAATCTTGCTAAACTATCCAATAAAAGCCAGTGATAGACATTTGTAGATCAACAAAGACTGAATGAGTTTGCCACTCATAGATCTTCTGAATGAAGAATACCTTCCTAATTGCATATCCAGGGACCTATGTTGTCAGCTTGTGACTGGCTAAGGTGAAAGTATTTACACCATAGAATTAGCAAATGCTACAAAATGGGACTATTTATTTCCCTTAAAGAGCCAGTTGATCTGAACGTGAATTGGTGGCCCTGCTACATGCATATATGTTTGGGTGTATGTCACCATGTACAGACAAATACTTGATGCACTGTGAATGTTGGACAGGCAACACTGCACTGTCGGTCAGCAGTCCTTCCTCCTTAGGCTGCTGGGAAAAGCCATGTGGTTGGAGTGGCTAGGAAGCTTGGCTTTCCATACTATCGTCCCATCCTCCTCTCCTCTCAGGGTCTGGAATTGCGTTACCTATGACCCCACCGCCTTCTTGCTTCTGTGTCCTCGGCAGACTTGGTCACTTCCTGGAATCGGAGCTAATATACTAATTGAGGATGTGTGCATCTGCAGTTGCTCAAAGTTCACTCTTTGAAGTAGCGAATCTTGGCCTGGCTACACAGACATCAGTAAATGGCCTCCTGTTTCTGTTCATAATTGGCCCTTACAAATTGGTGAAATGCAGGGCAGTAAGACGCCTGTGTCAGGAACAGACTTCTGCCAACTTCTGTCTGTGAATATACCTGCTGCCGACTTTCCTCCAGCCCTCAGAGCCAGGGAGGAGTGGTTCTGGGTTCTGTGGGGGAGTTGCCCTCCCTTGGGCATGGAAGCCAAGGTCAGATGACTGGGAGCACAGACTAGGAGGGAAAAGGCAAGCCAAGAGACAGGAAGCAAAGTGTGGGCCAGGACTAGGGAAGCCGGTAAACTGAGGTCCCCAAGCTGGCAGTGGAGGTGTGAGTGGCTGGGAGGAAGGAGATGAGCAGAGATGGAAGAGACGGGGGTCTGAGAGAGGGTCCATGAGCCTTGTGGTTCCTCTGCTGGGCTCTGCCTCAGATGGCAGCTTCCTGCTGAGCTGGGTCAGGCAGAGGTTTCAATCCTGGCTGTGGAGAAAGTGGGTCTTTTCTGTCTTTTGGTTGGAAAACAGTATCTTCTAGACTGAGTGCTGCCTTTCAAACTCCATGTTGTCACGCCCGTGGCCATTACTGGTCTCCTACTGAGATTACTCAGGTAAAAGTGCCTAGCACACTGCTGAGACAGAAGGGGGCTGAGGGAGGGGTCACACAGTCATGAGGTGTTTAAAATGGTGGGTGTAACTATTCATGCCCGAATTGGTTTCTGACAAAGTATACAGGACTGCATTGGTTAGGTGTGAATTATAATTATTTTTTCAACAGTCGTTGCCTTTCTCCCAGTCCCAGCCTTCCAAAGAGACTCACTTTTTACTTTATTCCTTCAAAGCTTTCATTGATTTCTTATATCATGTGTTTATTTTCTGCCCCTGGATGACCCCTTTCTGAGCATTTTTCTGGAGAAACCATTAACAGGTGGTGGTGTTGGGTCAGGGCTTCTGTGTGGGGGATGGAAGTGAACCCAAGAGAGATCACAGGGAAAGGAAAGGGTATCCCAGATTATCAATCAAATCTACCTTACAGCACCAGATTGGCTTCCCTTCTTAATCATTAACGTTTCAGCTTAATAAAACTCTGGCAGTTGTGATGCTTTCGAAAGAGCATGTCTGGTTTTGACAATAAAATTGCTTTTAAGAGTGGAGCTGGGTGGGGCCGGAGTCCCAGTGACGCAGGAGGCCTGGTGATGGTCTCTGTCGTGGAATTGCTCTTGGGCTGTCCATGTACACTGGCTGCTGGTATTGGCACAGACACCTTGCAGGACATTGCTTTGCTTAGAGAAAAGGCGCATTAAGAGTGATGCGCTCGCCTAACCAGTTTTGCTCAGTGGATAGAAGTGTCCTGCGGACTGAAGTGTCCTGGGTTTGATTCCGGTCAAGGGCATGTACCTTAGTTTCGGGCACATCCCCAGTAGGGGGTGTGCAGGAGGCATGTGATCGATGTTTCTCTCTCATCGGTGTTTCTGACTCTCTATTCCTCTCCCTTCCTCTCTGTAAAAAATCAATAAAAAAAGAAAAGAAAAAAGAAATATAATTTTTTTTTAAAAAAGAGTGATGCGCTCAACTTGAGTGTGACACTTGTACCCGCAGACAGTGGTGACACACTGAAGGGACTTCTCACTGGTCAAGGGGCTTAAGGCCGCGTGGCCCCGAGCTGGCTTTGGTTGCACCAGGCCTGCTGGAAGGACCCACTGTCTGGAGGCGCCTCGCCAAGAGAGCAGGGGAGCGAAGCTTTGCCCTCCTGAGAACCCATCACAGAGGCCAGGAGCCTTGGATGAATGTCATCAGAGCGCTCAGAGTTTTCTGCTGGCTGTTTGCTGAGAGGCCAAAGTCCCCAGTGTCTTTTCTGCACAGATGATGCCGGCGGTGGGAGGGGAATCACCCTTACAGAATGAAAAGAATGTCAGCAGCTGGTGGTGATGTTTTGGAGAAAATTCATGCCATCAGGAGTTAAGCATGGGGGAAGGGGAAGAAAGGAGAAAGGTACCATTTTTAGTTTTCAAAAGTATAAAGTGTCGGTTTTCCTGTTTGTGTTTTAACTGATAAAGATAAATGGACCTCTGGCCCTTGGGTCATTGCGATGCCTGTGGTCCTGTGAGTTGCTGAAGGTGTCCCATCGGACTGACAGGGGCCACCGTAGTGTGTTGAGTGTGGATAAGCTTCCAAATAGTGACTGCAGCCTCTTAGAGAAAAACAAAACTGGATCCGTGGAGGGGAGGCCAAGACCTTCAATCCAGTTGTCTAACGACAAGTCATTTTTAGAAATCCAGGCACAGTGATTAGAAATGCACACGTGGGCTTTGCGCTTGCAGCCAAAGGCAGTCAGACAGCATTGGCCGGTGAGCCATTGAGCTCGTGCCTGAGCCGTGGGGACTTGTCATGCCGGGCGTTTCTTTGAGGAGATACAGTTGACATGCGTGATCTATTCCTAGTAAGCACGGGCAAGAGTAAGCTGTTTATTCCTCACACTAAAGCATGAAGGTAAGAAAAGTAGATCTAAATATAGGAACACCTCTTAAGCTATAGAAATGCTTTAGCTTCCACACTTGAGAGAAATTTTTAGTCTTCTGAATTTTCAGAATAACAGCCTCCCATGATGCCCAGCACATGGTAGGTGTCCTGTAAGTAGTTACTGAATTCAGGTGTTTCCTCCCATAAAACAGTGCATGCTTGTTGTAAAAATCCATGCATTTAAAGTAAAAAAAACCCGAAATCCCACCATTTAGCATTTGGGGATATAGCCTCCCAGACATTATTAGTGCATATAGAGGTATGTATCCTTTTACAAAACCAGGATTGTGCGGACATGGTGTTTTAAATACTGTCTCCAGATCAATAAGGTGGATCTTTCTGTTTAGCATCTGCGAAGTGGCATATGTACTATCCTGTGTAAGAAAGAATTTGTCATTTCTTGTCGTTTCAGACGTGAGACATCTCATGCGCTGTCCTTTATTTAGCAGGTGTCTTCTGCGGAGGTACGCATTGGGCCCATGAGACTGACGCAGGATCCTATCCAGGTACGCCTCCATTACGCAGTAGGGGCTTCGTTCCCGGAGCACATGGTTACATGAGCAGCGTCTGCGCAGCCCTTCTGGTACTACGGTAGATAGCCATCCTTGCCCCTACATACATGCCTGTACATACTACACAGTGTGTGTATATGGGTCTTGCTTGCTTTTATTAAAGTCATACTAGAAAAATCAAATTGGGTTTTTTTTGCAGTCTTAAAAATTGCCCCATTTTGAGTCTAAATATAATTGCATGATGGACTATGAAGGAGAACAACTCTTCCACCACAAAAGTAGTCTGCCCCAATCCTGCTGCAGCCGGAAAGGGAAGGGGTGTGCATGCTGAAGGGCGGGGCTCTGCCCTGAGCCACAGCTGGGTGTGAATCCTGCCTTTAACCAGCTGGGGGACCTTGCATATATTGCTCCATTTCTCTACCCAGGGCCCTGTGTGGAAAGTGGAGATAATGCCTCTCCCATAGGGAATTATGAGTTAAATGGAATAGCAACCTAGAAGACTGCCTGGCCATGGAAGGTGCTCAGTAAAAGATAACTGTTGTTGTTGGCTGGGAAGATAAAATGACAAAAGGCTCCCCTTTCTTGTCCCATGTGACTAGAGCCATGCAGCCTTCTGGGCTCTAACACCAAGGGCACAGCAACTGTGCCCTCCCTCCAGCTCCCCATGGCCCCCTCAGAGACCCTTTGAGGTAATTGCTAAACCCATCATCCTGGTAGGCCTAAATATGGGAACCTCCTCCTCACAAACACTGTAGCTTGTTAGCACCGGGAAGCTTGTCCTGCACTTGGGACAAGTGAAGATGTAGCACATCAACCAGCATGTAAATGAAAGTGAAAAACCAACCAAGGAAATGTATTGTTTGATTTATGAACAAATGGAAAAGAAAATAATGTTTTACCATTGCTTGGAAAAGGAAATGCAAATCTTGGGAAAGGGAAAAAAACACAAAAGGAAGAGATTTAAGCTTGGGAAAATTTGATGAAAACAAAATTAGGAGCAAAGAGAGAGAGAGAAATTTACTAAAATAAACAGAAGCTACAACTGTCTGTATAGAATACAAACAAGTGGAAAATTCCAGTAATCATTCTGGGTGCACGTACTTTGTAGTCCATTTTGAATAAAGGCAATGACAAGGGATCTAATAACAGTATTTATTCCCAAAACAACTTCCAGAATATTTCTTGGGATTAGTATAGTTTTCTAGATCTGTTCGTTTAATTTTCTTACATTTTTGCCCTGTGCTTGTTGGCAATGAATGCTCATGATAAGGAAGTCTCGTTTTTTTAAAGATGTAATTTGTCAAATTGTAAAGTATTTCAAACATTCATAAAGTTTACATGTATATCCTCATATGCACTTCTTTCAAATACTAACAGTATACCACCCCATTTGTCTGAAAATTTTTCAGAAACAAGGGACTACAGGCACTGTTTAAGCCCTTATTTATCCTTTTGCCTCCCTAAGAGTAACCTCTATTTGGAGGTTGATTATGATAGGTATTTGTATATGTATTCTACACATGTATGCATTCATTCATAATATTTTTTGAATATTCTTAGCTTTATTTGAAAGCTAATAGGCTGTAGGCATCATTCTGGAATTTTTATTTAACATTGTTTTGCTGTCATATATAAGAATAGATGGTCTAATCTAAGGTCACTGATTTACTCCTTTGTTTTTTCCTAAGAGTTTTATAGTTTTAGTTCTCTGATCCATTTTGAGTTAGTTTTTGTATTTGGTGTGAGGTAGGGCTTTATTCTTTTGCATGTGGATATCTAGTAGTTGTCCCAGCAGCGTCTATGGGATAATATTCTTTTCCTGTTGAATTGTCTTGGCACCTTTGTCAAAATTCAACTGACCATAATTATGAGGGTTCATTTCTGGACACTGTCTTTATTACTATAGCTTTGAAATGTGAGTCCCCAAACTTTCTCCTTACTTTTCAAGATTGTTTTGGCTTTGCATATTCATATGAATTTAAGGACCAGTTTGTTAATTTTGGGGTGGAGGGGACCAGTTGGAATTTTGATCGTGATTGCTGTAAATCTGTACATCAATCTTGGGATTATTACAATGTTAACAATTTTGTCTTTCAATCCATTAATATAGATGTATTTCTTAATTTCATTGGGGGAGTGGTTTGTTCATTGCTACGGTATAGAAGTACATTTTCTTTTTGTATGTTGATGTTGTATTCTGCAACCTTGCTGAACTCTTATTAGCTCTTACAGTTTTTTGTAGATTTCTTAGGATTTTCTATATACAAAATCTGTCATTATTTCTTCTAGTCTGACTGCCTCTTTTATCTTATTTTAGTTGCCTAATTATCTTGTGAAAAACCTCCAAAATAAAATAATGGTGTGCTTACTTTTATAAGATAAGGTACTTCCAGATCTTTTCTCAAAGTGGCTGTACCATTTTACACTCCTACAAGCAATACGAGAGTTCTGGTTACTCCAAATTCTTAGTTGTATTTGATGTTTCGGTCTCTTAATTTGAGCTGATCTTGTGGGTAATACTCTCTCATGGTTAAATTTTCATTTCTTCATCACTAATAAGGTTGAACACTTTTTTGTTTGGATATTAGCCATTTCTTTATCTTTTGTGAATGTTTGATTAGATCTTTTGCCTATTTTTAATTGGGTTGACTTTTTTAAAGTAATTGAGTTGTGGGAGTTTTTTAATATATTCTTATTACAAGTCCTTTGTCAGATTTTGAGAATATTTTCTTACAATCCGTGGCTTTTCTATTCATATTCATAAGTCTGGCTTTAGAGCAAAATTCTTAATTTTGACATAGTCTAATTCAGCACTTCTTTTATGGTCATTGCTTTCTGTGTTCTAAAAATCTTTACCTATTCCCAGGTTGAGAAGATAATTTTTCTTCTAGAAACGTTTTAATTTTAGATCTATATTCTATCTCAAGTTCATTTTCGTGCATGGTGTGATATGCAGGTCAAGGCTCATTTCTTTTCCCATATTGATGTCCAGTTGTTCCAGCTCTCCTTGTTGAAAAGACTATACAATCCTTACTCGATTAAATTGCTTTGATGCCTTTATTACTGATTTTTAAATTCTCACCTGAGGATATGTTTTTATTGATTTTTGTAACATTCTAATTCTAGGGGTAATGATATCTAGTGGTGTTTTTGTGTGTGTGTGCTCCTACTGCTGACATTGCAACCATATTAAAAAAGAATCATACTTTGTTCTAGTGCCTTCATTTTTGTTTTTGTTTTTGTTTTCTTGGAGAAAAATATTCTGTTACTTCACTGGCATGTCAAAAATGTTAATTAGCTACATCAACCAGAGCCCTTAGGGCTTGGGAGGAACTTGTATGATAAGAACATTTTAGGATGTGCTTCTGAGTTCACCAGGGGAAATTTGCTCCCACATGAGGACATGTAACCCGGGCTCTGTACACCCCAAGGGAGCTGTCGGAGCGGAGTGATGTCAGGAGGGGAACGTGGAAGTGTTAGGGAGAAGCGCAGTAGGGGCTGTAGAGTATGTCTCTCCTGGTGAGTGGTGGTGACTCACAGTACAAGTCATATTTTCCACTCTTGGCAAGAAGATAAAAAATAGGGGAAATATTATGAGGCACTAGATTCACATCAACATGATAACATCTGAAAATCAAGTGGCCTTTTCTTCATCAATGCCTGAGGCACAGTTACTCCCCCAGGGTGTAGAATCGATGTGTTTCTGCTTAGAGTGCTGTCCCCCTCCCCTCACACTGGCCTTTCCAACTGCACTGGAAATGGAGCCTGGCAGCTGTGACCTCAGCTTTTTCCTAGCAAGGCAGCGCTTCCCTTTAAAACTCATTTTTCCATCTGTGTGGACATGGATTTTTCTGAACTGTTTCATAGTGGAGATTTTATATGTCAGAGATCATGTGGCCTCATGAGGGTCTGTTCTTCACATACTAAGTGATAGGACCGAGTCATGGAGACACTCAGGCTCAATGACTTGCTGGGGTCACTGTTTCCCCTCCTGTCTGTCCTCACTGCTGCTACCAACTGTCCTCTACCTAACCCAGCCAGTCTGGGGGAGCCACAGAGTTGGTAGGAATTTGGGTCCTATATTTTAGGGGGTAAAACTAAAACTGTCCAGAGGAGGTTACTTAACATAATGATTACAAACAGCTCTGGGGTCAGGCCGACCTCTGTTCAAATCTTGCTAGCTGTGTGGCTGTGGGCGAATCTCTTAACCATTTCAAGCCTCTGTTTCCATATCTATAAAATGGAGATAATGCCTGCTTCCAAAGAATGTCTGAAAGCGTTGTTGCATAAGACATTTCAAGCACTTTAAGTATAATGGCTGGCCCTTTGAAAATTCTCAACCTTTACCTGTTATTAGCATCACTTTCCTAGGGACACTGAAGGAAAGCTTCCAAGCCATTTTTAGGCCTCCACTGAATTGACCCCTTATCTGATCAAATTGATCAATTCTTTAGTATTATGTGGATACAACGTACAGGATCCATACATGTGGTCTATTCTAGAAACTCCTTGTTACCCAGTTTTGCTTATAGCCCAACCAAATATTCTGAAAATTGGATGTTTAATAGTTGATATTTGTGATCCATTTGGAGATGTGTAGACACACTTTTATTTAAAGAACACTGATGATAATGAGCCTTTATAGCATCATCTTTAGGTTAAGGGAAAGTTAGTTTTGTCTCCACCCTTTTCCTAATTAGCCTTCACCAGAGGAAAGTCTCATTCTAACTTAGCTATCAAAGATAGATGACTGCTATCCTCGGAACAATATTTTTCAGCACGTGGCTTAAACTTGTCAAAGGGATGGTACAAGGATTCCTAGCAAAACCAGAGGACATCAGGGGGCGTCATGAAAAGCTTGCAGAGGAGTAGCTGGGGCACATGGGTCCAGCCTTCTTTGCCTCTGCTTTGCTTTGGGAAGTCACTGTCCTCATCTGTTGAATCGGGGTTCATGGAGCACCCCAGGAGTCCCTGTCGGAGAACTCCTGAGCGTC